GCTCTGGCCGTGGACCGGGCTAATAGCGGAGGTGGAGGACACAATGGCACGTTGCTAGACGAATTTGCCGGTGGAGTTATTTTGTAACAGTCTACACCTGTCTTAGTGGCGAGCAAGAACGTTTAAAAAAAACCCCAAAAAAAGCACACTCAACACATTTGTCACGACAAATTATGTGGGTGGCCTTAAAATAAATTAAAAAAATTAACCCGTATATCACAGGCGACGTTTCGGGCAATGGCCCTTCTACGAGGCACGTGACCGCTGTTTTTAAGGATCTCAGTCAAAGCGGATCACAGAATTTGTATTTATAGTGGAGGAATCCGATGAGTTATAAAACATTTTTTTTACAGATGTCCAGTGATAATTGATGCCCTCCCACCCCACTGTCTCTCTCTGTATTTTCACGGATGCCGGGCAAGGCCCCTTGAGCTGCGTGGCTGCCCTGCGCTAAGTTTCCTCGTGCCCGGCGTCACCACTGGTCCCATCTTTTCCCCGGTTGGCACACCGTGGGCACTTACCAAACAAAATTCCAATTATGTACAGACAAACAAACAAACCAAAACCACCTCAACCCATTCGTCAATAACGATGCCTTAAAAAAAAACCCAAAAAACAAGTATATAATCGGTGACTTTACGACAAATAGCCCTACATCATAGCAGACAATGTTCAGTTTTACTTTTTATTGTATTTGTGCACGCGCGTGCTCTGTGCGCGTGCTGTGTGCACGTGCTGTGTAAAACTGCACATGCAGCGGTAGTGTAGCGGTTAGCGCGCTGCGTTATGAGTCCGGCCACCCGAGTTCGATCCCCGCTCGCGGTCAACACCGATGACGATTATCTGGGCAGCGGTAGTGGAGTCGTTGGCGCACTGCCCTACGAACCCGCAGGGAACCGAGTTCGATTCCCTGTTCACCACCAACAACAACAGTGACGGATATTTTAAACGGTTCCGGACTTCTCCGAGGTGGACTCAGCCTCGAATGAGTACCTCGTGCGGTGTGTGAACATCGCCACTGGGGAGACAAAGGCGGTCGGGCGTGGTGCTGGCCACCCACCACCCTCGTGTGCCGTGCCGGCCTTCATAGGTGCTCGCTAACAGCACTTGCCCCAAAAGTCTGCTAAGGCTATAACGGGGGATTGTAGTCTTTGTGCGCGTGTGTGGGAACCTGTAGTGCAGTGGTTAGCGGACTGCACTACGAACCGTGCGCCCCGAGTTCGAGTCCCACTCACGAGCAACATCGGTGGTGAATATTTGAACCGGTCCTGGGCCTCTCCGAGGTCGACTCAGCCTTAATGGGGAAACAAAGGCGGCCGGGCGTGGCGTTGACTCACCCACCCCCCTCGCGTGCTGTGCCGGCCTTCATAGGCGCCACGCGCTAACAGCACTTACCCCAACGTTCTGTTAAAGGCTATACGGGGGATCTTTGTATTTGTGGCCACGAATGTGTGTGTAAACGGCATGCACTCAATTGATTATGCACGCACGTGTAATTTCTCTTTTTCTTTAAATATTTACGAATTAACACGCGTTTGCATTGAGTGAATTAATCTCGGCAAAGAATTCACGGGCACCTGCATTCATCCGCAACCCCCAAGTCCAGGGCACGGACAACGCCTGTGACGTTCCCTGTGAAGTTAAATCTGAGCGTTTGTGTTCGTTGTAAATCACGGTGGCTGCGCACTGGACCCAATTACCCCCCAAAGCGCCAAGCAGCCAGCAACAATGAGCACTGCTTAAGGCTGCAACGTATAGGAGTTGATGCGTTTCTTGACTTGAGCATGGTTTCGATTTAAAGCTTTCGTGACTGCAGGAATTAATCTTCTTGGTTCTTTCGGTAAAGTCACGTAGAATGGAAATAAAATATTAAAAATAAAACATAGTAAAATAAAATTCTCACGACGTTTCGGCCACAACACAAGCAGCCTGAATTCAATTGAAGCGCTGTCGTCCCGACAGTTCTGTTCCTTCACCTGAAGAAGGCTACTTGTGTTGTGACCGAAACGTCGTGATAATTTTATTTATTATGTTTTATTTTTATTATTTTATCTCCATTCTACGTGACTTTACCGAAAGAACTATGAAGTTGAGCAAGGTTGTTGTTGTTAGATCAGCAGAATAGATGACTGGGAGGGAATTCAAACGTGGAGAGAGAAAACGCTGAGAGAGGGAGAGTGCTGTGCCCTGCAGTGTGGTGCGTGGGTGGGTGACTGTGTGAGTAGGTGGGTGAGCGAGCGAGTGAGTTAATGTGCGAGTGAGTGCGTGAGTGTATTATTGTGTTGCGCTATAAACCCGGCAGCCCAAGTTCGATTCCCGCTAAAGGCGAGCACCTGTGACGATTATCTGAATCGGTCCTGGGCCTCCCCCAGGTCGACTCAGCCTCATATGAGTACCTGGTGCGATGTGTATACGTGGCCACTGGGGAGACAAAGGCGGTCGGGCGTGTGGTGCTGGCCACCCACCCTCCTCGTGTACCGTTCCGGCCTTCATAGTTGCTCGCTAACAGCACTTGCCCCTACAGTCTGTTAAGGCTATACGGGGGATCTTTGTCTTTGTAGGTGAGTGAGTTAATAAGTGCGTGAATGTGTGAGTAGGTGGGTGAGTGAGTGAATGTGTGAGGAGGGTGAGTGAGTTAATGTGCGTGTGTGAGTAGGTGGGTGAGTGAATACGCGTGTGTGAGTGAGTGAATACGCGTGTGTGAGTGCGTGAATACGTGTGTGTGTGAGTGTGTGTGAGTGTGCTGCTGCGACCTGTGGTGTCGAGGTTGGACACAGTCATAGATGAGGTGGAAGAATCCTTACCCTGAAGAACACACCGTGGGTCGAGCAATGAAGGAGTGAAGTTCACGTGAAGAGTAGCCGTGGTAGCAGCAGCAGCAGTGATAGCAGAGGGACGAGGAGCCGAATGGGTGAGCGAGTGACTGGAGCGAGTCAGTGAGCGCTGGATCATCAATCAACGCGCGATGGCTTTACGTAATTAACGGAACACAGGATCAGAATTAACGTAGCACAGTATCACATTTGGCATTTTTAAAGTAGAATCATTCTAGTATGAGATTACTTTAATTTAATTAAGTTTAATAATTTACTCCTCCCCCCCCCCACGGGATGCTGTTTTTTAAGAACCATACTTCTCCATCCTGGTGAGTTCGGCTTGGTGAAGGCGATCGGTGTGGGGGAGGGGGGTGGTGGGGGGGGGGGGCTAGGACCAATTTAGTTTAACACGTAGCAGGAGGCTTTCCCGACCAATATTATTCATAATAAACGTTTTTGGGTTAGATCGCATTATTTATAAATGCGTCGTAACCCTCCACCACCCGACACGGCCAATCAGTAAAAAAAGTGTCACGTTGACAAAAGACAAAATAGTTCACTACTTTAGCCCACCGGTGGAGGGTTACGACACATTTATAAATAACGCGATCTAACCCAAAACAGTTTATTGTGAGTTATTATGAGGACCAATTTCGTTGTCACACTTCAGCCACTCATGATGGCCATGCTCAGGAATCGAACTCAAGTGGGTAGGTTTAGAGCGTAGATTTGCCTCGACAACGTGGTGACAGAGAGGCCACGTGCAGCCTTGCAAGCAGCTCGATCGCAACACTGCTGGCAGAAGGGGCCTCCTCGAAAAACACCCTCGCTCAGACACAACAGCAGTTGACACAACAATACACACAACAACAGTAGACACAGCAACAATAGACACAATAATACACAACAGCAGTGGACACAACAGTGCACACAACAATAGTAGACACAACAACAATAGACACAACAGTGGACACAACAACAGTGGACACAACAACATTGGACACAACAACAATACACACAGCAGTGGACACAACAGCAGTGGACACAACAACAGTGGACACAACAACAGTTGACACATCAGTGGACACAACAGTTGACACAACAGCAGTAGACACAACAACAGTGGACACAACAACAGTTGACACAATAGTGGACACAACAGTTGACACAACAACAGTCGACACAACAGCAGTAGACACAACAACAGTGGACACAACAACAGTTGACACAACAGTGGACACAACAGTTGACACAACAACAGTCGACACAACAGCAGTGGACACAACAACAGTGGACACATCAGTGGACACAACAACAGTGGACACAACAACAGTTGACACAACAACAGTCGACACCACAACAAAACACACAACAGTTGACACAACAGCAGTGGACAGAACAACAGTGGACACAACAACAGTAGACACCACAACAATAGACACCACAACAATAGACACAACAACTGTTGACACCACAACAGTTGACACAACAATAGTAGACACAACAACAGTGGACACATCAGTTGACACAACAACAGTGGACACATATTCTTAGCTCTTTCGGTAAAGTCACGTTGAAGGGAAACAATAAAAAAATAAAATATATAAAAAAAATATATAAAAACAATGAAATGTATATATTTTATTATTTTATTGTTTCCCTTCAACGTGACTTTACCGAAAGAGCTAAGAATATGAATTACTGCAGTCACGAAAGCTTTAAATCAAAACAGTGGACACAACAACAGTGGACACAACAACAGTAGACACAACACCAGTGGACACAACAACAGTGGACACAACAACAGTGGACACAACAACAGTACACACAACAACAGTAGAAACAACAACAGTGGACACAACAACAGTGGACACAACAACAGTTGACACAACAACAATACACACAATAGTTGACACAACAACAGTGGACACAACAACAGTGGACACAACAACAGTTGACACAACACCAATACACAACAACAGTTGACACAACATCAGTGGACACAACACCCGGGTTCGTCGCGCAGTGCACTAACTCCTGCGCCACCGCTCCTCACACCCAGACCGCTTCGCCCAGCTACCGTAGCTGGGTAGCTGAGCTACCCGTTGTGCCCCCCCCCATATTTGACCTCCTTCCCCCCCCCCCCCAATTGCCACTCAAGCTGTCTCCATGTTCTATCCGCAGCTACATGAGGCCCCGTCACAAAGCCTGACGGGAGGGAGACCCCGAGTTTGGGACGTTTTGCATGGAGCCGCGACCATGGAGAATCCTCCTCGTCTGTCAGCGTCTTCTCCCACGTCGTCCCCCTCGCGACCATCGCCAGCAGCGCCTCCATCGTCACCGTCGTCATCACCATCTTCATCTTCTTCTCCATCATCGCCGTCGTCATCATCGTCGTCGTCGTCAACGACAACAAGAACAACGACAAAAGCACCTCCAACATCAACGTCACCATCAAAATCATCATCACCATCGGTGCCGCCGTCGACATCATGGCAGTATACCTGTTCATCTTCAACAACAACATCGTCGTCGTCGTCACCCTTCCCGTCCTCTCCACCCCCATCGGCCCTGCTGCTCCTGCTGGCCCTGCTCGCCGTGTGGGCCTTGCTGTCGGCCGCTGACGAGGTCCAACCCAGGGCCACGACGGGCCCCAAGCGACGGCCCCACCACCCCGGCTTCGCCAACAGCCGTGGCCGTGCGCTGGCCACGGCGTTTCCATCTCCTCCTCCTCCTCGTCGTCACCCCCCAGGACCTCCTACTCCCGCTCCTCCTCCTCCTCCTCCTGCTCGCAACAGCGACAAGAACAACCCGACCGCTGGCCGACCCTCCCGCACGCCGTCCTCCAGCCAGGAGGCGAACACCTGCCGTGGCTACTACGACGCGATGGACCAGTGGGACCCTCCATTCAGCTGCAACAACAGCGGCAGCTACAGGTACTGCTGCGGCACGTGCAACGTGCGCTTCTGCTGCACGGACCCACAGCAGCGGCTCCATCAGGACGCGTGCGCCAACCACGTGACCCCCTCGCGGACTCCCACGCCGGTCGCGGAGGAGCCCACGGAGAGCCACGTGGACGCCTCTACCGGGGTCGTCGTCCCGGCCGTGTGCGGGGTCATCGCCGTGCTGCTGCTGAGCGGCGTGCTCGCCAAGATGGGGCTCGACAAGGCTGCGGACGCGGCGAGGAACATCAACTTGCCCATGTGAGTTAATTTGGAATAGGTTGCTTGTCGGTGGAAGGGTGGTGCGTGTGTGTGTGTGTGTACGTGTGTATGTGTGTGTGTAGATGTGGGGAGCGGTAGTGTAGCGGTTAGCGCGCTGCGCTATGAACCTGGCGACCCGGGTTCGATTCCCGCTCACGGCCAACACCAGTGACGATTATCTGAACCGGTCCCGGGCCTCCCCTAGGTCGGCTCAGCCTTAAATGAGTACCTGGTGCGGCGTGTAAACATCGCCACTAGGGAGACAAAGGCGGTCGGGCGTGGTGCTGGCCACCCACCCCCTCGTGTACCGTTCCGGCCTTCATAGGTGCTCGCTAACAGCACTTGCCCCTACAGTCTGTTACAGGCTATATGGGGGATCTTTGTGTGTGTAAATATATAAATACTGCTGCTACGGGTAAATGCAATGTAGAAATTACAAGCTGCCAAGCATGTTCGGTAAGTGAGCCTTCCACAGTGTCGGGCTAGGCACATCAACTTACCTATAAGTAAAGAGTGAGAGTGGTGTGTGTAAATATTGTGTGTGTATTGTATTGGGGGTGTGGTGGCGCAATGGTTAGCGTGCTGGCGACCCCAAAATTACCGTGGAAAATGTTTTAAGGCGGTCACCCACCCCCCTTGTGTGCCGTGTTGGCCTTCACAGGTGCCCGCTTACAGTACTTGCCCCAATTGTCTGTTATAGACTATATGGGGGGGAGGAGGGAGGTCTTCGTCTTTTAACGGATAAATAAACTATGACCACTAATACTTTGACGTAAAAAATAAAACTTGATTGTGTTGGCCAGGACATCAACACGCTAGAGCAAGCGTTATTAAAACCTATTATGTACTCAAAAGCCAACCCATAAAATGACCCTCACATTTTGTCAGCCTGAGTGGCCAGGAACATCAACGTGCCCATGCAAAAATGGATTGTGTTAAAAATTAATATTTTAATAATCACAAGCTGGTACGCTTGGCTGTTAAGTGCACGATTTGTTGTTCTGAAGGCAGCCAACCACATTCATATACCAAATCAAGATTAAAATAATTATAGTTAAAATAAAAAATACAAGCTGGCAAGCAAGTCTGTTAAGGGATTCTGTACCTTTGATGGTCCGAGTGGCCAGGAGCAATCCTTCATATTTGAGAACGGCCCACGGAAGCTGATATCAGGGAGCTGCCTCTGAGGTCCCCTCAATTAAAGTTTGTTTATTTATTTATAATATATTTTATTAGGTATAACCCTGTGAGCCATGTGGCTCTTGACTCGGGTGCAACCCGCAAAAAAACAAAAACACGAACATTTCAACGCTGTGTGCAAAAATCCCAGTGGGATGCAAGTCAAACAATAACCACCATACGACAATGTAGATTAAAGTTATCAGGCCAACTCTGTACTACAACAAACAAACATGGCCAGACCAAACCGTCCTCAAAATCACCAAAATAAAGCCACAAAAACAATGTAACAATGATCACAGGAACTGTGATTCAAATCCAAATCAAATTGACCTCTGTTGCAAACACAGTCGTGGGCAGCACTTTCCTCACCCACTCTGCATACATTAACATTCGACATAAGACACCCAAACCCCCGATATTTCAATTTTCGGACATGGAATTTAGACAAGTTAAATTGAAACAGAACCACATTTTACGGTCCGAATGTTAATGTCCCTGCCTGCTGTAGATTATTGATGGGTTGTGTGTTGCTTACCAGCTACTCGTAGTGTAACTATTAATACGCTAATAAAAAAAAAACTGGGTCAGATTTTTATTTTATTTTTAAACGTAATTCTCATCAGGCCCTGTGGTATAAAAAAGAATGCATTCTCCAACTCTACTTGTTATTATAATAATAATTATCTCTGCCTCTAGCCTCTCTATATTCTGTGAAGAAGGAACATTGCCCGAAATGTCGTCTGTTGTATATTATTTTTTTTTTATAAGGCCACAGTGTTATTGACGAATGTGTCAGATATTAGGTGAAGCGTTCTTTTTTGGTGACCGGCTAGGAAGAGACCACCAACTCAATCAATGGCAGCTGCCTGGATTCTATCTCAGAATCTCAGCTGTGGAAGCTCAGCGCTCTGACCCCTGACCTCTGCGCCACCCGGGCAGCCCCGTCACAGCCTCCACTTTTCGTTGACACCATGTAGCAAGGAACACGTGCCGAAGATGGAATATATATGTGAATAAGTTAAAGAAATAAACAAAAATATACCCAATAAAATTGTTACTTTATTTTTGTTATTTTATTTGTAAGTTATTTGGCCTGGACTCACGGACAATTTTGTAGACGATGATGTGCTGGTGGCCAGGAGATGTCAGTACAGCGTTGGGTTCAGCGCGCAAGATAAATCAAAGGATTGAATCTCTCTCGTGGATCGCATCCATTTGTGCGGAGCTCTGAGTGGTGGGCGTGGTGGGCGCTTTCTCCCCGTTTTATCCGCTTTCCTCCTCCCGCACGGGAAGCCAAACTCTGCCCATTCGTGACTTCAGTAAACACCCCAATGTGGCAGGACAGTCTTGAGAGCCTGTGAAGTTTACCTGGATAAACCCATGGCCTTACTTCCACCGCTGAAGAGTCCACGGATGGACACGATATTTTCAGGGCACAGCAAAAAAGTAGTCTATGCAATGGGTATCTATTTTTAGATTTTTTTTTTTACATCTTAACACCTCCTGTGTCATTGCCAGAAAGCCTGACGCCTATTATTCTTCTTTCATCATTTTGATACCGGAAAAAAAGGTTACAGAGAAATAAGTCGTTCGTCTTCCATTCTTCCTTAACGACTCACCGCGCAGCTCGTCACTAACGCTGAATGAAGGAGTCACGGCAACATTGGGACTGTTGGGACTGTTGTATCGAGTAGGGCTCTGTGTGTGTCTATGGATCTCAGTGAGTCTATGGGTCTTTGTGTGAGTCTGTGGGTCTCTGTGAGTATGTGGGTATGTGTGTGAGTCTGTGGGTTTCTGCGCGAGTGTGTGGGTCGCTGTGTGAGTCTGGGGATCTCTGTGTGAGTCCGTGGGTTTCTGTGCGAGTCTATGGATCTTTGTTTGAGTTTATGCGTTTGTGAGTATATGGCCTTCTGTATGAGTCTGTGGGTCTCTGTGGATCTAAATGGCTGTGTCAGGTGGGGGTGAGTTTATGGCACAATTATATTTACGCGATCTAACTCAAAAAAACTTCATCTGAGCAGGTCTGCCTCTTGCTAATGCCATCGTGGCAAAGTCGGTGATCAATGTTTGATGAGGCATTACTAGCGAAGCTCTAAAGAGCTGTGAACCCGGGCTTTTAGAAGGCCAGTTAATTAAGCCAGCATTCATAATTAATGTGGGTGGCATTGCATTAATCATCACCACCATAACCGCCGCCGCTGTCATCATCATCATCATTATAAAAAATTGCACAAAGCAAATATGATTCTGTGTCATCGTCGTGTCATCGCAGGTCATCAAGAAAAAAAGTGACATTTCAAAACCCAGCTGCGTTCGTGAAACGAAATTTTGGCTGCTGTAATTTTCAAAGGGATGAGCCACTTCATTTGTCGATCATCTGTGATGGGCCATGTCGATTCTGACATGGAGCTCAGTGGGCCTTGCCTGCTAAAATCTGTTTAAAAAGTAAATAAAAATAACCATTTAAATGCGCAGACTTCCGCGACCACTTACAATTCTTGGTCGATGTTTAGGGGATTAGGTCGCGTAAAACGTGTGTCATACAACCCTCCACCATACCGACAGTCAATCACGTGAACACAATTAGCCAATTAAATCTCCGTAACCCCCTGAGCCACCAACCCCCCACCGACCTCACGCGTTTCGGTTGTGGTAAATGTTAGAATAATTATTAGAAACTAGCCTTTTGCCCGTCCAAGGACGGGTGTATTGTAGTAAATCTGAAACTTGCAAGCGAAAATCAGACCGCGACTTGATATATTCATTGCATTACTTCGTGTGCTATTTGTAAGGCCGCGGTGACACAGACTTATTTCATTTAAAGGGTTATAATCCCTTGTTCATCATGACGCCCTTTTTACTTTGATGTTTCAACAGCGTAACGGAGATCGCGTGACGTGAGGGTTCTGCCTTTGTAGTGAGGGTTGTCAGTTGACGCCGAGAAGGGGAGAGGAGCCGCCCCCCCCCCCCCACATGTGGAGTGACGTCACCCGCTCATGATTATTAATGAGGGGGGGTTCCATGTGAAGGACGTAACCTGTTCATGATTACTAATGAGGGGGGCTGGTCGACGTGGAGTGACGTCATGCGCGGGACGCACATACATTCTTGGCTCATTATAGTGGTAAATAAAACCTCGACACATTTGTCAATGACTCCTGACGTGGCATTGCAAGGACAATAATATATAATAGGCCACGCGTCAGGTTTGGACCTTTTCTTAATATGAATTAAATATAATGGCCAGAGAGACGGAGTGTATAATAACAGTCATCAAAATGAGTTGGAGACTTCACGTGTTCATACCACGGAGCATCATGAGAAAAAAAATAGAATTATGTTGACCAATGTTTTAATTGCTATGACAATAGTTGCTAACGGTGGCTATCGAAGGGGTCGTTTGTTGTTCGTTACTCAATAGTCTTATCATTTGTGATGGCCCAGCTAACAGTTACATAACTACACACATGGCGTTTAAAAAAAAACATCCGGTCGTGAGGCCCCCATTGTGGATGGATTGTTTGCATGGACCACGTTTGGCCAAATGTGAACAACAGCAAATGTGTACCAACAATTTGTCCAGGGCCATTCCCGCGCAATGAGTCGCGAGGCTCAGCGAGGCTCTCCTGGGTTAGACGAACACAATCGTTATATTGACGAGAATACAATAATGTTACTAATAATGTTAATAATAACGATAATACAATAATGTTAATAATAATGTTAATAATAACGATAATACAATAATGGCAATAATATAACAATAGTGATAATAATGATAGTTTCGATTTAAAGCTTTCGTGACTGCAATGATTCAT